ACTCCCGGCCAAGACATTCATAAAAAATTCGGAAGAGGTTACTTCGAGAAAGGCCTCCTCACAGCAAACGGATTTCTTCTCCTTAGAAAGAATGTATAAATCAACAGTCCAAGAGGGGGACGAGGAAAATTAGGTCTGTCGGAATCGCCTAAGAAAAAAGGGCCATTTAAAAGAAGTGGAGAAAGGAGACGACACACAGACTTCTTTTTTTTTTTTTTTTTTTTTTGTCTTCTCGCCACTGCCAGTATTCAGACCTTCATTCCGACATTGCTCTCATACTTCTGCTTCCCGCAGATCGGATGTGAAAACGTCCCCACCGAGCGGATGGGCAGAGCGTGGGCGGTGGGCCTGGCTGCAGCCTCGGTAACACACTGCTGCTCTCTCCTGAGGAGTCAGAATGCACACGCTGCCTTCTCACTCCGCCCGCTGCAGTTCCACGGGCCTGTCACGGCCACACACTCAGCCCTTCGCTTCCTGGCCGTGGGGACAGGAACAAAAACGCAAACAGGAGGGAGGCCCGCCAATGAGCCTCCGAGGAAGAGAAACGTCCACCGTGATTCTGCTGATGTCACAAGGCCTGAGGATTTTCACAGACATGGGACGATTCACACCAGATTCTGGATTTGGGGAAGTAACCGAAATGCTGAAAAAGGGTGCTTTGAAGGTGAAGGGGAGGTGGTGGGAGGAGATCCCAAAAGTCAGACTTTAAGAGCTAAAACAAGTAGGAGAAAGTATGAAAGCAATGGTAGATCAGAGTATGGGTAAGAGTACTGCAAGCTTGGGAAAAAAATTCCGAATGCTCTTACCAGATGCAAAGCAAACACCGTATTACTCAGGGACTCCTCATCAGGAGTCTACCATGAGGAGAGAATGATGGGCATGAACAGGTGTAGAAAGGACTTCGGCACCCTCAAATCAAGGGGGTCTCATCTAAGGGGCTTCGAGCTGACATGAGACTCGACCCCAGAGAGTTGGGGAGTTGAGTCCACCACTTAAGTAAACACCCACAGTCTTGTCCTTGAACCTTGGAATCCAAACTATTGACGTTCTTCCTGCCTTTTGCTGCCCCACACCCTGAAGGCGGCAACATGAGCACTGCGCCAATGTGCGAGCAAACATGACACCAACAGCACACACACAAAGACAATCCAAGAGATCATTGCAGCAGTGTGTGAGGTCCTGGGTTTTGGACCCTGCTCCCGCCGCGCCGGCCCCCTGCAGGGGGAAGAAGCCCACCCCGGCCAGCTCACACCGTCTGGGAAGACACCGGGCACCTTCCACGTTTCTCTGCGCCTCACAAACGCTAAAAGTTAAAACGCAAAACTAATGGAGTGTTTGTGCAAAACGAAGAGCTTATCTGTTTTTCTAGGGACTTCCCACTGTGAGTCAAGAAGCCTAGAAACAGACTTTTCAATCAGACCCACCGACGATGTCCCTCATTGAAAGCAGCAGGGAGTTGAAGGGGAAGAATATGAAGAATCACCACCCTTCTCCCCAGAAAGGCAGTGGCTGAGCCGCTCTCAGGAGGGACTTGGTCAGTGATGGGGGAGAGAACAAACTGGGGGATTCAAGGCCCTGCTGCTGAGACCCAACCGACACTCAGCTGTGAACACGCCCCTTGTGGGGTAGATCTCCTAACCCACGGGCAGGAGGGACGAAAGAGCGGGCCCCAGCGCCTGGCCGACCAACCAGTCTCTGACCACACACGCCTTGGGCAGTTGTTGCAAACTAACGCACTTGAACTACCTCGGACTCCTGATGCACCCACCTGCCACTTTAATTTCAGCTGCTGTGTTCTGCCCAGACGTTGGAAAAAAACGTCACTTAGATTGCGATAATAATTACGCTTATAAACGCTCCCAGCGCAGCTAATTCCAAAGTCCGAAAGGAGTTAAGGATGCATTGATAAAAAAAAAATGGCTCGTTAATATTAAATCCGCCCCCTCCTCCTTGAGTCGACTAAGTTCCCCAAAGTTCTGTTGACCAGAACAGTGGGAGTGGAATCTTTAAGAAGCAAGGTCATTTTCTAGATGATTCTTCAGAGTCGGGAGGCAGGACCCGCCACAGAGTGGGGCGCCTGGGGTTTGGAGGGAAGCGGTCTTAGAGTTTTGGGTTTTGTTTTTTGTTTTTCACACAACCGCAAGGCATCCTTGAGCGAGTCATTTGCACACTCAGGGTCTCCGCTTTTCCGTTTTGTGAAGCAAGGCATCTGAGCCCCCATCTCCAGCAGCCGTAAAACTCTATGTGTCTCTAAGGAACAGCTCACTGTGCGGCTGACGAGCCCACCCCGGTAACCAGAACGACCCAATTAATGCTACGTCCCGTCGAATATTCCATCGGTGGTCTCGAAAAAGAGGCTTTTGGAGAGTGCAAGGGGTCCGGAGCCATGAACTTCGGCCACTCTATGTTTTCCAAACAGATGAAGAACCGGGGGTCAGAGACGCCGGATTCGAGGCTGTTTCAAGGACAAGCCGGTCTGGCCGTGTGCACCGACCCACCCTGTTCCCCAGCTTCCTCCCTGGAAGCTGCTCTCTGGCCCCTGTGTGCCTTTCCCGCAGCTCATTAACCACAGCCCACATCACGGCTGGGCTTTACGGGCCTCTGGGCTCTTCGTTTTCCAGACACCTAATCCGGGAGACATTTGAAGCGTGACCTAGAGGTCTTCGTGAAAATTGGCCGGGACCAAAATACTTGAAGGAATCCTCCGAGGCTCAGCCAAGAGAGCAAGTATCCACACGGCAGCCCTCGCCTCCCGAGTGATCGGACGAGTATTTCACAGACAGGAGCATCCTAGGGTGTCCCGTCCTGACCCAGCAACTTCGGGGGCCAGAGGGCACAGCCTCCAGAGCAGACGGGTTTTGTCGTTCTGGCTTCGGGTCTCTCTGACAGCACGGGTACCCCCCTGGTGGTAACCCCCATCGTGCACCTGCACCTATTTCTGGCCATGGCACGGCAGCGGCTGGGGGCTAAGGAAGAAGGCTGCTCGGGCAGAGAGCCCCTCCCACACCTCTCCCGGGGTGGGAGCTTCGGAAAGACTGTCCTGCAAACCTTGCAGGCAGCAGCCAGGAAGCCCCGGGCAGGGGCGATACCGCACACATGCCACCTAATTGGTTCCAACAGGAGCCAATCGGTTCCAAAGAACACAACCGACAGACATTCGACCCCGAATGACACTGGATCCAACCACGGGGCTGAATCGCAGACACCATGACGTGTGAGAGAAGCCAGACACCAGCGAGCATGAGCCGCGTGATCCCATTTCTACAAAATGGAAAATAAAAGCAGAAAAACGATCTGCAACGGTGACAGGCATCAGAACGGTGGCTGCATTGTAAGTACAGGGTGAGGCCTGGAGGGGCGCAAGGAGCTTCCGGGGGGCTACACACGCTCCATTTCTTGATCTGGGTGGTGGTGGTGGTGCAGGTATAAAAAGACTTTAAAACACGGCAAGTTCTACACTTCAGACACGCATGTTCTTTGCTGTATGCACGGGACACCTGAGCAAAAACTTCATTTAAAACATCGTGTGAGGTCCGTGATGTCCACCAAGAATGCGATCCTCGATTGGCTTCAGCAGAAGCACATCTGAGATTCTCTGAATTGAGTTTCTGCCAGGATATTAGTAAAAGTAACAGTAACTAGACTGAGTGTTTATATGTACCAGGCCCTGCTGCAGGGAGCCGCAAACTATATGAATGTTTCATCCCTAAAACATTCCCGCAAGGTAGATAACCATTCATAACCCTATTTCACAGATGAGACAACTGAGGCACAGGGAGGTGAAGTCACTCGTCCAAAGCCACACAGCAAGTGAACTGTCAGGATCAGGACGCAAACCCAGAGAGGTGACTCCAGAGCCCGTGTTCTTAATCGGTCTGAACATTGTATCGTGCGCCAGGGTAAGGAAATTTTTGTCTTTCTCCCAGTGCCTCAGACGCTCCTGACTGCGTGGTGTGGTCTGCACACTCTAAATTGAGAGGAAAGAGCATCAGGGCTGGGGCAGACGGGCTAACCGACCATCGGGCTGATTATTCTGCGGTTTGTCCTGGAGACGCACCCAGTTTTGGTGGCTACTGCGAGCCTGTTCAAGGTCGATCTCGTTCCTCTCCCTTCGGAGAAGCACTGTCTCCCATGCTGCTCACCCGGCTTTTCCGAGCGCCAGGCCCTAGGGCACGACGTCCAAGCCCCCCACGCACTTTTCAGATCTGCATGGGCTTCTCTTCCCCCGGCTCTTTTCCCAGCTTTTATATCGTTGTATTAAACACAGCGCATCTGCAGGACCTGAAGAAGGCGTTCACCAACCACTCTAATTAAAGAAGACCAGGTTTGCGGTGTTCCAGACACCCTCTTTTCTCAATTCGTTTCCCTGAAGTTCGCAAAAAGGAAAACCGGTCGGATTTTTGCTTTCTCAATTTCGAGGGGCCATTTAACCAGAGGTCATCTCAGAATCTGTCATGGAGGCAGGAGGGAGGTGACTTACGGACAGTCAGGCCCCACAAGCCGCCGGCCCAGGGCCTGTCGAAGGCGCCACGGTGAACTATGTATGTGCTCACCTTCGTGAAGCGTGTAAACACACACACGTGTGCACACACAGCACGCCCAGGCTCATGTGTGTGCACACCCAGGCACTCCTACTTTGCTCCTTTTTGGAAAACACACTTGGCCAGAAAACCCATTTGGGTGCTGGTCAAAGCTGACAGAACAAAGAAAACAGTACTTGATTGGAAAGCAGCACCTCTGGGTAATTGCAGCATTGGGCAATCGCTAAAATGAACGAATCCGTCATCTATTTCTGGCAAAGACACGAAACAGTGACTCTCGAGTCAATGCCCTAACACGGTGTGTGAACCTGCACCCAAGCCTCTCGGAATCCGACCTGGGCATCGAGGGTCTATGGTCCCGGTCCTGCCGACGGGAAAACAGAATCCTTTTGAAGGTACCGTTTCCTACCCGTCAGCAAGCGGCCAAGCCCGAAAAAGGTTCTTTTAGGAGGTTCCTACCTGGTCGTCGTAGCGATAGGTGAGAAACCGCTCCCCTGTGGTATCTTCCAGAAAACTCCCCTGTGGGGAGAGTGCGAACTCGGGCAGGAAGTAGGCTCCCGGAGACGTCTCTGCCTCGGCCTGAAAGGCAAGGTCGCGTGGTTACAAACGGGGTCTCAGTGTGGAGCCCCGACCAGCCATCTCTGTGGCGAGGCTGGTTGTTCTGAACCAGCCCACAGAGGGCTGTCCCAGAAGGGAAGGCCCAGGTGCGACACACCAGGTGTCTGGTCCCCCTCCAAGTGGCATGCACAGTATTTATTCCCTGACACCTGCCTGGCCCCCAACACCTGTCGGTGGTTCAGCAACCGTAGAGTCAATTTGCTTAGGTTCTGTGGAGGTTTCCTGGGTGGTGCCGCCTTCCTGTGAGATGGGGGTGGGGTGGCTGTCTACCGCAGCAATCCTGCCACGACGGCCTGCAGCCCCCCACTTGAATGCCTCTAGTGATGGGGAGCTCGCTCTCTCCCAACGCAACAGATGTCTGTCATAATCTAGCAAGCTCACAGAGGCCACACTAGTCTGAAGTGACATGTTGCTCCACACAGGACGATGGGGTGCCCTGGCCCATGACATCTTCCCCGCCATCCTCTCCCTCTCCTCCCCCCCCCCCACCCCCGGAAAAACATACAGAATCTACGCTGAATTCAGGAGCCTGAACGGCGTGAACATCTGAGTCACAGCATTAGAGACTGAGGGGCGTCGGAGAGCCAGCCTAGTCCCTGCCCTCCTCCTGCGGCCTCTCTGGTAGCTGCACACGAGAGGATCGGTGGTGGCCCTCAGCACAGAAAGCTGGGAACAAAGCCAACTCAAGGTCACTGTGAGCCAGGGACTGGGAGAACTGCCTCATCTGTCCTCACGCTCCCCCTGCCTGCCTGTGAGGTGGGTGCCATTTCCCACCTGAAGAAACCTGGACACAGGCGGTCGGGTGTCTTACTGGGGACACACAGATGTCTGCCGCTGAGGACAAGGTCAGCTCTCTCCATTCTGTCCCCTCACCCTCTCCGTGGAAAACAGTCCCAGAAAACCAGGCCCTCCTGAAGGAGCTGCGGCTGAGCTCACTCCCACCTTCCAAAATCAAGCATCAAGCTGGTGACGGGCCACTGAGAACACTCGCTGACCCTGCCCCCCAGATGGGAGGTGACTTCTTAAATGTGGGGAGGCTTGGTGGCATGTGACCCCTCCCGGGACGGGGTGACGAGAGACGTCAGGGAAGGAGCTGAAGGGAAGGGACAGGGTAGGAAGGCCGGCCCAGGAAGTGCCCTGCCCGGGTCCCCAGGGAGAACCTGCCAGCACACGTCACCCTGCCGGCCACTGAGCACACCTGCCGAGTCCCTGGGGACTGGTCGGCGGAATCCAGACGGCCCCTCCAGGGACCTCGGGATGCGGCTATCTCCCCGCCGCCCCCTCCGGTGGAAGGAAGGCTTTGACTTTGGCAGGTGGAAGTAAATTTGAAAAGGCGATTCGAGGACATGATTGGAGGGACTGTCCCCGGGCTCCAGCTCGCTCCACCATAGAAAGGACAGAGACCACCTTGTGACCGAGGCTGGTATCACGGGGAGAGGTGCCCACAGGAGGGAACGGGGCCCCATGGGCCTCAAAAGGGATGCGTTGCCCATTTAAGAAAAAAATACAACGCACTTCTCCCTGAAATTCAGGTAGCCGGTTTAAACTCGGGTCCCAGCTCAATCTGAGTTCTGTAGGTCAGACGGTCACCCCTCTCCCTGGTGAGCATGGAGCCAAGCACCACACCACAGACACGCGGGCAGCAGCGGCCACTCAGTCTTGTCCCCACAGACTGCTGCTAGGCCGAGCCCCTGCAGTCTGGGCGGGAGCCAACCTCACCGCCCGCCCCACCCACACTCCCTGCTGATCTGGCCTGTTGTGCTGGGCCCTCGAGGCTGTTTTCGGGTCCCCACTCCACTGACCCATAAAGGCATTGCTCTCTCCTCACCTCACGTCACCCCAAATTCGGCCACAAACCCCGAGTGGGAACAGAGCTGAGACCTGGGCCCTTTGCTACTGAGAAAAGCCTGTCTCCAGGCTGCATAACCCTGGAGCATCCAGACGATGTTCTAACCAGCTGACCCCCCCGGGCATGGGCTTTCCCCAATCACAGCCCCCCTTCTGACAAGGGACACCTCGTCAGAAGCGTCTGCAGTGACACAGACAAGGCACTAACATGAGGTGCTACGTGGCGGAACTGAGACTCCCACAGACCTGCACAGGACGGAACAGAAGCCAAGAGCCCTGAAGGCCGAGCCCCGAGCCCCGGTGCAGAGACCTCCCTCCCAACACCAGGGCTGAGCAGAAGGCACGTAAGGTCCCGGCAAGGAGGCATCAGCCAATCTCTGCTGATGGCCATGGAGACCTGCAGAGGAGAGCTCAGAACCGGCTGGGGGCAAGGGGACCGCTCCTACATGACAACATTTGAGGACTCTGCAAGTGAGTCCTCACAGGGGGACCAGGCACAACCGTCCTGCTCTGGGGACAGTCTGCAAGGAAGACATTCCCCGGGGGGTCTCGAGGAGCTGTTCCTCAGGGCCCGGACGGCACACAGGACGGTACGGTTTGCACCATCCAGGGTCCAGTGGGACACCTGAGTTGGCTCAGCTGTGGAAATCAGCACACCAGGTGCACTTTTGTTCCAAGAGCACAATGCGGATGTTGTTTCCTGAACCTCCAATGAAGGTAAAAAAAAAAAACAATCCAGATTGCTTTGGTTTTTTTAAATCGGATGTCATCATTCCAAGACTTTTCAAGGCCTTAAGTACTCTCAAAACTCCCTGATTAAAATACGTTTCCTTTGGCGAGGTCGGAAGGATGGGCTGAAAGAAAATTCGCTTCCACATTTCTTTCCTGAGTTTTTACATGTGAACGCCAGAGGTTCCAGCCCTGTCTTCCCCAGCTCCCGTCAGCTGACGAGAGCCAGGAAGGCCCAACATTTGCATAAAGGTGCGAGGACACCTCAGCCAAAATACCACGTGGTTTCCAGCTTCAGCTTTACCCTGAGCCCCAGATTCCAAAGGAAACATGAGCAGGGACCCCTGTGAATCCCTCCCAGAGCTGAGAGGCAGGGGTGACTTTGGGGTACCCAGGTTCAGAACGAGGTGCCACGTGCCACACAGAGACGGTCTTGCCTTGGACTCATTGAATTCAGACCTCGGCAAACGGGTGTTTGGATCTAATAAACACCACTCACAGCACTGTCCCTCTGTTGAGTTCTCTCCCTGCTTCTCCCACCCCCCTCCTCCTCCACACACCCACACATCTGTAATTAGCACCGGCGGGCAGTGTCGGGAGCCACCGGTGACAAGGTGTCCCTGGAACAGATATGTCTCCCTTCCCCTCCCGGGAAGAACACCTGCAGAGTGAGTCCTAACACTTCTCCCCGGGAGGGCCCTGGCGTCTGCACTTTGACCCCCAGCTGAAAGACGTCTCTTCCCACAGCCTCTTCCCTGCTAACACGGGCATCCTTCTGGCAAAAAACAAAAAAGGCACGTTTGCCTTTCAAACAAAGGACAAATAAGTATTTTGTCTGACCAGAGCGGCACAGGGAATATCCAGAGTCCTTCTTGGGGTTTGTAGAGTCTGTTTAGTCACTCAGTGGGCATCTGTTAAGTAAGCACCTACTATGCACCGAGGCTGGTTTTGACATGGAGAGTCCAGGAATCATCTTTCCTGAAGAATCTATAGTCCGATCGGGGAGGCAGAAAACGAATATCACATATGAGTAAATACACTGCGTCATACAGGCGAAGGAGGAGGGAAGTGTTGGGGAGGGTGCACAAACTGCAGTTTTTTAAAAAAGGTTTTACTTGTTTATTTTTAGAGAAAGGGGAAGGGAGGGAGAAAGAAAAGGAAAGAAACATCCATCAGTTGCCTCTCATACATGCCGTCTCCAGGGACCGAACCCTGACCAGGAATCGAACCGGCGACCTTTCGCTTTGCGGGATGCTGCCCGACCCACCGAGCCGCAGCAGTCAGGGTCCAATTACAGTTTTAAATAGAGTGATCGGGGCAGGTCAGGGTTCCTCCAGAAATCCCGATGCTTTTATTTTCTGATTTTCTAAACGGACAAGCTGGGAGCCGGCCATGATCCTTCAGCGGCTGCCAAGTGTCTACACTCTCCAGGCCACTGGCCGGGTCCGCCTGTACCTACAGCCGCGCTCTGACCCTTTGCTCCCTGGCCCGGAGTCCCTCTCCGCCTCCGCGGCCCTCCGCCGGCAGCCAGGCCACGCCCTGGCCGTTCTGCCGCCTCCTGCTCTCTCAGAGCCACAGTCCGGCCCACCCAGGCCCTGCGAACCCCAGCACCAGGGAGAATTAGGTGGGCAGGGGGCCTTTGTTGCCAACCTTGGAGACCAGAGCTGAGTTCCTGGCAAATCTGTGTCCGTCCCTCATGCATGAATGTGTAGCAAAAAAAAAAAAGGAAAGAAAAAAGAAAAGAGAGAGAAAGCATTAGCAGCTCTTCCCAATTTGGCCCGAAGACGCCACCCCACCTGACAAAGTCCAGAAACTCGCCAGCAACAGATTCCTGTTTATTCAAGGTCTTTCTCACCCCACGGCTTTCTCAGGAAACTGCCTGTCTGTGCGCTTGAGATCCTGCAGGCTTTCCAGTGCAGCCTTCCGAGAGGCGGGGAAGACGGAGAAATGCGCTGTTTGCACAAACGCCCCAACACATTTACATCCATCGTGCTCCGGTTTGTTTTTCTAAGCCGAGGACAGGAAGTCTTCGGCGCGAATGCCTCAGTGGAGCCGCCAAGTTCACTGGGTGCTCGCGCCTTTCCGAATTCCTCGGCAAGGCAAGGCGTCAGGGAGACTTCCGCCAAGATGGAGGCATAGGTGGAGACGCCGGGCGTCCTCACACAACCAAGTTTAGAGACAACTAAATATTAGCAACAGAAAACACAGCCGGAACACAGAAAATTGAACTTTTCGGAAGTCTAATAACAACAAATTCTTCAGCCTGACCGGTAAGAGGGGCGAAACCAGCAGCTGTCGGAGCAGGGTAGCACAGGAAAACTCAGTCAGACGGACTCAGGTGCAGGGTTGGACCTGGTGGGTAACTCAGCGAGCGACTTCGGAGA